GTGTGCGTGCGTGCCCAAGATCCCAAGAAGAGAATAGAGGAGAAGGGATTGCAGCATGGCCATCCTCCCTGGGGAATGATTTCTCACTTTCTCTCTCTCTGTCTCTCTCCCTCTCTCCAGTGAGTACAAGTGCTCTATAGCAAAAATACCTCAAAAAATTTCAAAAATCTGGTGAAAGGTAAAAGCAATATAATTTCTGTTTGCAGTAAGCACCGCCATAGGAAAGGGCTGTTACCTTAGATAGTGTGGTCTAAAAAAAAAACACTCTCTAAGGTGACATTTGAGCTAAGACCTGAAGGAGGAGCCAGGCCTTTGAAATGCTGGGTGAAGAGCAGGAAATGCACGATCCCCCAGGAATAGTTTAAGTGTCAAGCCCTGAAGAAAGGAATGAGCACAGTTTGTCTGCGGACTGAAGGCAGGCCAAGGTGGGGCTGGGAGCCCTGCAGCATGCCCACTAATGAGGCAGGCAGGTGAGGGGAGGCAGGGTAGATTTCCATGTGTCCAGCTGAGAACACACCTGCAGTTTTGGGGACAGATACTCTGTGTCTAACTATGCTGTAGAAGTCCCTAGGAGGGGCTGGTGGGTGGTGTCGTTGCTGGGGTGCTGGACTCCCATGTGGCTGACCATGATTCAAGTCCCAGACCTAGCGGCTTGCTTTCTCACTTTCCCTTTCTCTCTTTCTCTGGTCAAATTAAAGATAAGTAATAAGATTTACCAAAAAAAGTGCCTAGTAAAGTAGGGCATGTGGATTTGCTTAGAGAGTGATGTCTGAGTGCTTCCCCAGAAATCTCCAAAGGAATACCTTTCCCTTAGAAAATTCTCCAGAGCTCTCCTTTGTGCAGGAAAAAAAAGTAATAATAATAAAAATAATTAAAAAATAATAATTAGGCCATCTTTCAGGGGTTGGCATGTATTCAGCAAGTTTGTGAGATTTGCGCATCTATCCAGCATGACAAAATGTTAATTTACAGTGACGACTCTACTGAGAGTACAAAAACCTGCTCGCTCCCTCCAGCACATTATCTTTCTGTAGGTTCCATTCCATGTGAAAAGACACCTTCTAATCAGACTTCTGAGACAGAAGTATGGGGACGAGGCCACCTTGGAGACGTACGTAAGGCATGGATGCCACCTATATTATACGGGTGCTCTCTTTTGCTTCTACAAGCCATTCACTCAGATGGCTTTGCATTGCCTGAGCTCTGAAGTTTCCCAGATTGTCCGATGCCAAGAATCACCAGAGGCTTTTGGTAAGTACAGACTTCCAGGTGCGTGCCCCAAAGAGTCTTTCAGGAGGTTTCAGTGAGGTCCCAAACTATGGGTACCTTCCACCAGCTGCCCGGATGATTGTTACCAAGTAGGAAACCACATTGAGACGCCAGCATTTTCTAAACTCGCTCAATCACAAATGACCTAGAGCATTTGCTACAGATGAAGATTCTCAGGCCCCAGCTCAAGTGAATCAGAATGATCAAGCAGGGGGCTGGGAATCTATTTTTAATAAATGCTCCAGGTGTATCTTATAACGGGGAAGTTTGGTAAACACTGTAATTGAGACTCACCTGGGACCTTTCGAGATTCTGACTCACTGCATCTGCAGAGGAATTCAGGGCTCTACATTGTTTATAAGACCCAGGCAACTCAGATGCTCAAGGCTTGTGGACCCCACCTGGAGAAATGCCGCATTAAACTTTGATATTGTTGTAACTCAAGTCTTTGTTCTTAATGCCAAAGCACTGACAGCATTTACTAAGAACTGGAATGCCTCTTTGCCTTGCAAATGCTGCTCACAGAGCCGCCTCTGTTTTAAAATGTCTCAACTGTGTGTTTTCACTTTTTATTAAGAAAACTCAAATTCAGTAAACTAGAAATAGTTACATGTATGTCCGTTATACTTACACCTGATTTAAATTTGCCACGTCCACTTTATCTATGTAGCTGTGTATTTTTTTTTCTGAATTATTTCAGAGTAACTTGCAAACATTTTGACTTCTTACCCAAATATCTCAGCATGATTGTCATTTTAAAAAAGTATTCTCTTTCATAGCTACAATACTATGGTCACATCTAGCAAAACTAATAACAATTCCCTAATATCAGCTCATTCCCAGCCTATGTTTGAAATTTCCTCAATTGTCCCCCAATGTCTTTTTGAGTTATTTATTCAAACCTGGATGCAATCAAGGATCACACATTGCACATGGTTGTTCTATGCCTTTTGTCTCTTTTAATCTGAAACAGTCCTACCTTTTTTTCCCCGGGCCAGTTATCTTGGAGAATGTCCTCTTTCTGGATTTGTCTGATTGTTTCCTCATGGAGTCTCATGAAACATTAAAAGAACGAAAAAGCCATAGTGTTCTATAGTGTATGTCTACCCTCCAATACACACACACACACACACACACACACACACACACGTATATATAATATTTAGAGTTTTGTTTACTCTCCCACACCTCTCAAATAATCAGTTAATAGTTACATTTATTGAATACTTACATGCCTGGCATTGTTTTAAGATATTTAAATGTAGGGACCAGCAGTTAGTGTAGTGGCTATGTTGCTGGACTCCCATGTAGTCGACCGTGGTTCGAGTCCTGGACCTGGTGGCTTAAACTCACACCAGGCGCATGTGCGTGCATGCCCAAGATCCTGAGAGGAGAATGGAGAAGGGACTGTGGCATGGCCATCTCCCATGAGGGAGGATTTCTCGCTTTCTGTCTGTCTGTCTGTCTCTGGCTTTCTGGTGAGTACACACACCCTATAGTAAAAACCTCTCCAAAAAAAAAAAAATATTTAAATGTATTAACTTACTCATACTAACAATGAGATAATTTATTTTATTGTTACTAATAAAACTGAGGCACAGAGTGAGAAGTGATTCGTGACTGGTCCCAGGGCTGGGATATGATGGGGTTGCCCTCTGAAACTCAAGACTCCTGTTCTAGAGAGGGCTGTCGGTTTTTGGTTTTTTTTTTTTGCTATAGGGCGCATGCGCTCACCAGACAGACAGAGACAGAGAGACAGAAAGTGAGAAATCAACCCCCCCCCCCGGGGGGGGGATGGCCACACCGCAATCCCTTCTCCTCCATTCTCCTCTGGGGATCTTGGGCACGCATGCACACACACCTGGCGTGAGTTTAAGCCACTGGGTCCGGGACTCAAACCACGGTTGACTAAGTGGGAGTCCAGTGACAGAGCCATTACGCTAACTGCTGGTCCTGAGAGAGCTGTCTTAACCACAAAAATAGAATTGTACTTGAGACCCTTTTTAAAAATGTATCATCTTGGGGTCAGCAGTTGGCATAATGGCTGTTTTGGACTCCCATGTATTCAACTGCAGTTTGAGTCCTGGACCCAGTGGCTTAAACTCACACTGGGTACGTGTGCGTGCATGCCCAACATCCTGAGAAGAGAATGGAGGAGAAGGAATTGCGACATGGCCATCCCCCCTGGGGGGTGATTTCTCCCTTTCTGTCTCTCTCCCTCTGTCTTTTTGGTGAGCCCATGTGCCCTGTAGCAAAAACTTCTCCAAAGGAAAAAAAAAAAAAGTGGGACCAGCAATGGCTATGTCGCTGGACTCCCATGTAGTCGACCGT